TGTGTGTGTTCACACTTAGGGTTCTTCTCATGCACGTGTGTGTGTTCACACTTAGGGTTCTCATGCACATGTGTGTGTTCACACTTAGGGTTCTTATGCACGTGTGTGTGTTCACACTTAGGGTTCTTCTCATGCACGTGTGTGTTCACACTTAGGGTTCTTATGCACATGTATGTTCACACTTAGGGTTCTTCTCATGCACGTGTGTGTGTTCACACTTAGGGTTCTTCTCATGCACGTGTGTGTTCACACTTAGGGTTCTTATGCACGTTTGTGTTCACACTTAGGTTCTTCTCATGCACATGTGTGTGTTCACACTTAGGGTTCTCATGCACATGTGTGTGTTCACGCTTAGGGTTCTTCTCATGCACGTGTGTGTGTTCACACTTAGGGTTCTCATGCACGTGTGTATGTTCATGCTTAGGGTTCTTATGCACATGTGTGACCTTCTTGTCAGTCCTCTGAAAGCCGTGTTCACAGCACTGGCTGCCTCTGTCCTTTGGTTATCAGACTCAGCCCTGCAGTGATGGGATTTGAATGTGGGCATCGATTATTTTTGTAAGTTTCTGAAAACTGGCCGTCATCTCTTCAGTTGCTTGAGCCCCGCTCTTCCGCTCTTCTTGGCTCCAGCAGCTGCACATGCGTTGACTGCACTTTCCAGTGGCCGTTGTCCTGCTGACCTGACCGTGGAGTTGCTGGGACGACAGCAACCCACGTCTTGTAAACTTTCATCCGTGTTTTGTACCTCGTTCTCTCCAGGCTTCAGTCTGGACATTTTCCTGACCACCCACCCTACTAGCTCCACTGGTGTGTGTCTGGGTTTCCCTTGCTGGGTTTCTGTGGAATTGTGGACTTGCTATGTGAGCTGAGGTTTGCCTTCACACTGGCTCTTGGTTGTTGATCATGAGCATCTGGGCTGGAGCTGTTTTGAAGTGGAAATTCTCTCACTCTGGACATGCTTCCCAGGGTCTCTCCTGGACAGGCCCTGACCCAAGGCTGACCCTCTCTGCTCAGCTCTCCAGCCCTTTGAGCCCATATCCATCTCAGTTTGGCTGTCACCCTCTGCCACTGTGGCAGTTCAGTCTTCTGGTCAGGCACACCGTAGTAGGACGTAGAGTTCGTGTACTTCCGGAATCACCGCCGTGTTCCGGGACCTCTGATCTCTCTATCACTGCTGTCAGGGTCACTCGGTCTACCAGCCAGCCGACGACAACGGTTTCTCCCAGAAAGCACTGGGCCCCATGCATCCTGAGTGTCGCATTTAGTGGCTGTTTACTGCAGACTCTTCTCACTGGGAACAGCTGCTGTCATGCATTCTGCCAAAGCTCTGTTACTGGTTTTTCGGAGAACACACCTGAAATCAGGTGAAGATGTTAAGTGAGAGGGGAAGGTGACAAATAAGGGCAGCATTTCAGAGTTCAGCTTTTGTCTGATCGGGTCTGTGGTTTATATATAAAAACAGATGGCTTCTAAGTGGTCCACTGTGCTGAGGGGCACAGCCGTGGTCCGGACAGGCCCGAAGGCAGCTCTGAGCCAGGCCTCTGTCATCATGTGGGGACGAGTTGGGCAACAGACCTGGGCGTCTGCCAGAGTACGTGGCCTGAGGCAGGCTCCCAGGCATTTGTTGAACCTTCAGAAGATGACGCTCAAGTGTTTGTGTGTTTTATTTTGTTCTCCTCCTTAGATTACCAGAAAATTCAGGCTGAATTCTGAAGGCAAGCTTGAGCAGACCGTCTCCATGGCAACCAGCACCCAGCCAATGACACAGCATCTTCACATCACCTACAGGAAGGTGACCCCATGAGTCCAGGGGGCCGGGCCTCCAGGTTGGGGGCTCCAGGGTGGGGCCTCCGGGGCCCATGTCGCTGCTGGATCTGACACTTGGGCTGTACCACGTCCCGAGCAGCACCGAGGGCACAAGAATGTTGTTCAGATGGTCCTGTAAGGGAGTCGAAACCAAATAAAAGGCCTTTATTTTTATGGCTGGGGACTTTGCATTATCGCTGTGTAAACTGCGCCTTTCCATCTCCTGGTGGTGGTCGTTTTCCAGAGACTTTACCCTGAGAAATTGAGGGAGAACTCTCTTTCCTTATTCCCCCACCCCTGCGATTTTGACAAGCGCTAAAATATTTGTGAAACTTGCATAAAGTAGTCATTGGAGGCAAAGATGGGAAAAATGATTGCAGTATATTTTTTGTTACTTTTCTAAAGAGCTCAAAGAGACCAAGGGCCCACCACCTACTGTGGACCCAAGGACATTGGTTCTCAAGATACGAGAGCCAGTGGCTCATTTCCCATTGATACGGGAACTTTGTTTTCCTTTTGTTGACCGTGAAGTTTCCAAACACACACTAACCAACACTTAGCTTCAACAATTGCAACGTTTTCACACTCGTTTAATCTGTGTGTGTGTAAAACATTTTTAAGCAAATTCCAGACAAAAATGTCATTTATTCCTAGATACTTCGGTGGGCATCTAAAATTAAAACGATGCACTTTTCTTTCTTAACGCGCAAGTATGTGAGAGGTAGACACGTGTGTTGGAAACAGGAAGTTAAAAAGTGGAAGGCCTGGGAAATACAAGAAAACATGTTCATGCTGATATTTCCATTTCAGTATTTTTAAATATGATAAAATTCTTTACTCAATTCTTGGTTTTTATCCCTTTATATCATTCATATGTATGGTTTGTCCTATAGGGATAGTTTGAAAATGATAACGCTGTTATGAACCTTAACAATTCTGATATAATACAGTAGGGGGTTTTTTTGTTGTTTTTTTTTTATGTTGTTGTTGCTCTTTCCCCTAGTCAATTCTGACTTATGGTGACCCCATAGGAAAGTGGAACTGACCTAATATCATAGTGTGCAGTTGCCCCCTAGGAGAGAGTGGAGCTGTCCTATAGGGTACAGTGGAGCTGCCTGTGTCATAGAGTAGAACTGTCCCATGGATAGAGTG